TTTTCATTTCCGACACAGTTGTTCGTAAGAAATGATGTGGACTTTATTCGCTACTTGTATACCGTCTATCCGTTCCGTTCCGTAATGACTACGGGGCAGTGCCCAAGAAGTTTATTTCAATATTACGATCCCTCTATACTCATAGCCGAAGCCGAGTTCAAGCTTACGGCACGTTTTCACCCGAGTTCACCACGGAAAGTGATGTTCGACAAGGTTGACCTCGCGCTCTCCGTTTCTATTTAACTTTGCTATAGATTTGACTATGAAAAGAGCCTATCCTCGTGCGAGGATAGTGGCATCGATTTACTCCCAGGTGGCAGGCTGTCTGATCTGAAATGTGCAGCCGACATTGTGCTACTAAGTGGAGATCCAGGTAGGTTGCAAGCTTTTCTTGATAGTTTGAGTGCTAGTGTAACCATGTTCGGTATGTGTTTTGCACCTTCAAAGTGTAAAATGTTGCTCCGAGTTTGGGTTGATCCAGCACCCGGTCTCACTCTGACTAGAGAAGTCGTGGGAAAAGTAGACAAAGTTTGCTATTTGAGTAGCTATACCTCACCTGGCGGACGCATCGCGGACGAAGTTTCGGCGCACATACTAAAGGCTCGGTTGGCACTTGCCAACTTGAGACATGTGTGGCGCCGTCGTGACATCCGGCTGTCTGTGAATGGTTGAGTATATGCTGCAGCAGTTCGGCCAGTTCTGCTTTACGGTGCAGACCATTGGCCATCATGGGAACAGGATAAACATAGATTGTCGGTGTTCGAACACCGCTGTCTACGTCGGATTGCGCGAGTCTGGTGAGGTGACCGAACTAACAATGCTGAGATTGGGCGTATAGTTTTAGGTAATCAAGGTCGCCCACAGAAGCAAGTGGTCGACCTCCATAGATTACGTTGTTTGGGACATGTGTTAAGCATGTCACCAAATAGGTTGCCACGGCGAGCGATGTTTTCCGAGGCAGGTGGCGTTTGGAAAAAGGTCAATTGTGGTCAAACTGAGACCTGGCATGAGGGTATGAAAACGGTAACCTGGAGACTGGGTCACATAGGTCCCGTTAGGCTGCCTGTCTGGGGACCTCGGGATGATGGTCATCGATGGTTAGAGAAACTATGCGACGTGGTTGGGTGTCGCAAACACTGGCGTTCATGCATCTACTCATTATTCTTGTTACTTCAGTCTATGTAAATGCGTTATTTTCCGATTAAATCTGCTCTCAACATTGTAATCATCATTGTCCTTTTCATCCTAACTGGCAGTCAAAAGACAGCAACCAAAACCGGCGCACGAGTGTGCTTGGTTAATAGTTGTAAGAATTGAACTGAACTTAACTGACACCGGATACTTGAGTGAAATAATCGGATATTTGGATCGATTTCACTCCGTTGGAAGTGTCACTCACTCATGCCTCAATTACATGAACTTCTACTAAAGGAGAACAAATCGCGCCTTGATATGAGATTTGTTTGTGCACCTCCATGTCTAACAAGCTACACCGGATGACTTATAAATGCCGAAACGTTTCATGATTTCTCAATCGCCTGTAGTTACAGACCAGATAAAGCTCAATGTCCTTGTTGGGATACGAGTGGATTTGCACTGTCAGTCGGTAAACTGATGAAGGTGTAATAATGAATCGAATAGATGAGTCTCCATATCGTTTTGGTCGTTGCATCCCGGTTAGATCTTCGTCAAACCAAAAAGCATTGTTTTTGAACGCCAAATCGTTTCTCTGTTTACTGGTTAGACTCCGTATTATAATGTAATGAAATACGAATGATGAAGAGTTCAGCAACACACCAATCGGGTGCTATCCACAATATGTTGTGACCTGACGTGATGCATGATATCAAGTTTGTCGAAATGCTTTATTATTTTATTTTTTTAAATTCATTACCGGATTCCAATTTTCCTCGTCCCATCGGTGTCTGTTTTCACGAATTACACGGTTTTTTTTTCAGAGTGACAACCACGTGTGGAAACGTCTACTACTACTTGCTCGCCTGGTGGATGCGCTAGACCCAATCAACCCTCAACAATCACTACCGTCCTGGTCAGATCGGGTGGCCCGATTTGTACTGGATTGTTTACAAGTTAAACGTCAGTTAACAATGATTTTTTAGGAGATTCGTTTTGTTGTTCTCGCGTTCGCTGACCCTCGTTTTCCTTTTGATATGCGTGTTTAAATTTTTTTCTCATCTGTTTTGTTTGCTGTTGCTCTGTCTTAGTCTCTCGAATCTTTTTTCCCATTAAGCCTTAGCCAAAGCCCGCAATACGTTGGCCTCGACGCAAAAAAATTAAACAAACCACTGTGGGCGAGACAGATTAGTAATTATCGGAGTATTATGAGGAAAACTAATGTTGAAACATTCATATAATTTTTTTTACAAATGTTGGTGTTTGCTTAAGTCATGAGGTCAGGCGGTCGCACGCTGCACCACATGTTGACTGGAAAAAGTTCAAACTACGTGTCTGTATCGTCATACCGTTTGACACATGTCTGATACAGCTTCCATGGTTCCGTATAACATGCGATACTCCTGTGAGGGGAAACCTCAAATGCCACACCGTTCACAAAACTACATCCTCAATTACTATCATTAGTTTACGAGTACTGCCACCTTTAGCATAATTACGACCATCGAGGTTCAAGAATTACGGGTTTTACGTTGATGGAAAAAGGTGTTTTACAGGAGGTGTCTTTTGTGAACAATGTTTATTATCCTCGGAGTGTTAATCGGTCCACCTGTGAAAAATGGAATTCACTTGAAGTCGAGATATAGAACAATAAGCATTCACTTTTTTGGTGGTATCACTTTTTGGTGTATTTCATGACTTGTAAATCCTAAAAAAAACGTACCGTTTGTGTTACATTTGAGACTTTTGCTTACAGGAGTAGTTCTTACTCTGTCTTTGTTTCTCGTATATTTGCTCTCCACAAACCAATTCTGTATTAAGTTTCATCGAATTGAATCTCTCCACTAGTCAATTCATCATGAATGCTAACTGAACAGAGATTAGTTTGGACTAAGCGTATGAGTAGGACGTTTGTGTTCCAAATTTCACGTTTTGGTTCCGTCTATCTGTTGGATCCATGTTCGCAAATTAGTCGTTCCATCATGAGAGATGAATATTAGATAGATAAATTTGACCCAGTAAATTTTGCTGCCTTTTCCGTTTTGAAATGCATGTCATCAACATGGAGAAAGTTGGAGTAACGAATAAGATGGTTTAGGTGTGAACCTCGGACAAACATATTATCTCTCGGGTGCATAATGCATTGTGATCTAGCGTAAACTAAACACCTACTCAACTCGTCTCCCAGATGTGATCGGCACCTGATGGAAGATCAATTTCTTTTTCCCTTTTCACGTCTATGATAACCGTGTTTACGAAATAACTGTTCTGTTGCTTTTCAGCAACAACGTGACAGGTGTTATCTACTATTTGTAGGCTAATTGTCTGTAATTGTTTTTGTTTGTCATCAATATTTTTTCGCCAGAAAAAGTTGTCGACACATCAAAATGCCGATAGTTGAACGCCGGTGTGATTCAATGTGCCTACATTTTCTCATTCGTTTCTTTTTACAAATCTCGAATGTTTAGTCTGCTTTTTTGCACACTTACTTATCACATGACTCAACTATACTCTAGTGGACAGCTCTCCGAGCGATTTTCCCGGTCTTCTCAAAAAACCATACGCGGTCAGTTGTCGATTTATCTGTTTTCGATCTGATTCTAGTTGTATTCGTATGCATAATTCGTGCAACATATGATGCACTTCTCTGCGTTTTATTTGATCACTCTCCTCTTGGTGGTATCCACCCACAGGACTCCCTATCTCAACGGGTTTGCATCTGTTCTCTAGCAGCGTGTGATGCGTCTACAGTTACAAACTAGACAGATCAATCGGCCGTCCTCGTGATGTGCATCGGAATCGCTCATGGTCAGGGTAAAGCGATGCGAGTAGGGATAAAGTAGAAATCTATTCATTTCATGACTAGGAATGAGACGGAGAGATGCTTGAGATTTGTGGTCTGTTTGATATCAATAGGGTAGAGAAATGATATACACTTGGGATCACAGTTCGTGCAACACTGCAGTTCTGTGTTTTACGACGATTCGTGCACTAACGAGCCCTATCAGCCCATCATTGTTCACGCTTAGAGAATGTGACTGTGTTTGTGTGTGTGTGTGTGTGTGTATGTGCATTGTTCAGTCGGTAACAGCTTTGTCCGATCACTGACTGTTTCATGGTCTGTCCAAAGAGCGGGATGTATTAGTATTTTTCTTACGTCTTGCAACTCAAAACTTGTTTGTGAATCATAATTTCATTTGGGAACTCATTTAATGGTATGTACAAAATCAATTGCCCCCCCCCCTTAACTGGTAACAAAATTCGGAGGTTAGAAACTACCGGTTTTGTGCGAATATTTAGTCCCATATTATTCAACAAGCTTCCATCAAATCAGAAGTTAAAACGTTTATGATGAACAAGTAGTGTAGAAAAGTAGTCTTATCATCTTTCTCTTCTCTACACAGGAATAATGCAAAGTGCATCATGTCGTTTTGTGATTTACGAAGTTCTTGCGGCCCTGTCTCGTTACGTACACAATTCGTTGCGTTGGTTACGTCCACTCTGTGTCCCAACCAACACTGGGCAGCCATTGGCTATTCTGCTCACCTCAGCTGCTGTTGAGATCCAACTGGAGCTAGATAAAATGCCCAAACCACATTCGCTCGATATGAGTATATCGGACGCTACCAACACCCGCGTGGTGATTCGTTCACAAAGTGGAACTGAGCAACAGGAGCAGCAATTGGATTTTGTCCCAGTAAGTTACATCTGTGTGTCGTCGTTCTGCCTAACGCAAAAGCCGCTCTCAGCGGATCGATTATTCCACAACCCGCATAGAAATATTTCTGTGTGCTGTTTCCGTTCGAGTCAAGTTTAACTTTGTGCACCCGATAGCGTGGATTGTTCAACACTTTCGACAACTTACAATGAAGAAAATGTTACGCATAAAAGAAAACATTAAAAGTTTACTAAATGAAAAACAAATGAATGTGCTAAAAACCTGTGATCGATGATTTTTCAAGTCTGAATGACCAATGCTCCCAATTCATGCATCATCTTCACCTCGAACTCCCAATCGATGGAGGTCTCGTTGTGAGAATTCGATGTTCATAATCCACCACGATCGACAGCCACAACAGAACTGTGTTCGGTTGGTTCTCCATCAAGGGCGATGATACTGTGCCGGAATCTAGTTTGGTATTTGTGTTGTTCTTTTGAATTTGAAATGCAACAGCTTCTCGTCATACCTGATCACACGTTGCTAACCTGGTTTGACTGGAAACTGCACTTTGGGACGACTGCAGCCATATCCGGGCTTTTCTTTCTGGCCACTCGTGTGGTCCATTGATCACATGGGAAATTCTCCACTCTACCGGTTACATTCGATCCGATGTTTGCACATCTGTGAATCTCAAGCACAAACTTATTGGTAATAGCTGTGAGAATAGTAATTCACTGTCCCCTAGTCCATAGACACGTATTTCATCTGCACACCTGACAAGGTCTTGAAAACCTTTTTAGTTAGTTAGTCGGATCGTAACCAGTTCCATGAATGGGACATTTTGGAACTATCATCAGTATATAAAACGTGGCTTAATAAAATCTGCTCCGTTACGATTTTTTGTTCTTCTTTTCTGCCCCAATTGTCAGTCTGTTCGTGTACGGGACCATTCTATTCTGATCAATGCGTCTGACTTGCTTCGTCTCGGTTTGGCCGACATGAAAGAAGCCAATTCATCCGTGAGTGTGTATGTGTGTATGTGCGCCTCGGTTTCACGCTCATTGTTTTGCCCGCTTAGCTTTATTGAGTGAAATTATCCACCATGTGTGTGTTGATGTTTTCAATCGTGATGCGATTGAACAGTGTGGATTTTTGATTTCCAACCCACAGTCACTCGTGAGTATGAAAGTGACGTACGTATTTTCTCATTTTCACTGACCTCTTCTTCCGAATTCATCTTGCCAAACACAACTCTCAGCCAAGTCAGTGAACCATAGGAAGCACTTAACCTAAGTTTCCCTCTCAGTGAAGGAAATCAGGAGTGCCCAACCGTTAACCCATCCTGCATTCGGACTCTGAACTCATCGCGTAGAAAACGAGGACATTGCCACTGTACCAACTAGCTCATCTCCTTGGGAAAAACCATTATCGCGAATTTAGTCTTGTTCAGATTCTGGGCCCGACAGGTTCGAACTGAGACAGCACGCAAACGGGTACTTCCAATTGAGGCATTTCAACAGATCAGGTTACCGGATCGGGTTCAGTTACTCATCTCAAACGAATCTAACAGAACGAATTTAGTTTTTCATTT